TAAGATACAGAGTAAATAAGTTGATTTGGAAATTCAATGACCTTCATCTTGTAAATTATTCATGCTATCATGGGAAGTCTGTCTCCAGCATGACTTATTTTTTCATAGTTAAATCCTTTTTTCACTTGTTAAACAAACAAAGCTATGCAATCTGTAGCTGTTTCTTGTCCTCTCATTTTGTTTAGAGTAAATTCTTTTGTGGCCTCTCAGGTTACAGATATAAGAATGACCCCTGGTGTCTTCAAGGAGTAATTTAATGAGTTCCAGGAAATTAGGGGTAGGAAAGGCAATTGGTTTAGTGGAGTAAGCCAAATCTATATCCAAATTCTAGCTAGAGTCTTATTTTACCAATATGTGAAACAAATGCAACATGGCAGATGGCTGAAGCTCCATCAAAGCTAGTTTCCTATTCTCTATCCCCAAGCTTCTTGAGAAAGGAAAGTAATGAAGTGCACTGTTAAAGGTAATGTAAATACCAAAATGTGTTGACTTTTTACAGAGAAGTGTGCTGTGCCATCCTAAATTGAAATCTATTGCTCCTTTTCTAAGATCTGTTTTTAAATTTTGTTTAGGATCTGTTTTGATTTCCTTCTAGTACCATGTCTTGTTAGTCAGTGATAGTAAATGGTGCTAGCCACAAGAGTGCAGGGGATTCTTCAAGCCTGGAAGAATGCTGAATCTGAATGTTGAGTGTTAATCTAGATGAAGTAGAAGGAACCTTGAGGCCAATGGGACCTTTGCAGAATCAGTAAGGGATTTAGGCTGCTAAGAAAGCCTAAGTACAGATCCAGGCTCCTAGTAATCTGTATTAAGACAATAGTAATGTTTTTGCTTTTCAATTAAATCTAAAGATTGATGTGACATTCAAAATATTGTATGTGAATCCTTAATGTATTATTCTGGTTCCTATGCAATTTCATTGGAACTCTTAATCTTTTTAAATCTTTTTTCAGCTTTGTATCTACAGCTATTTGAAATTGAATGTTTTTGGCTCTCTATCCCCCTGTCCCTCCTTTCTTCCCTTCCTTCTTTTCTTCCTCTTTTCCTTCTATTAATTTTTGTATATGAGAGCAAATAGTGGAGCTTGATGTCTGGTCCTCATTCTCTCTGTTTTTCTGCTATAGTTGGTGCTCTAAAATTTAAGCTATGCCTACGCTTCCAGCTTTTTGCTGATATTTGGAGATAAGAATCTCATGGTTTTTTTTTTAGGTAGTCTCTGAGCTGTATTTCTAAGATTTCAGCCTCCTGCAAAGCTAAGTTTACATGCATGAGCCACTGACACCTGGCCCCTTCTTGTCTTTCACTTAATACGTTTAATTTATGCTGGATGCATGTCTCCCACTAATGAATATACACAAAGTCATCTCTTGTGACCTAGATATTGTACCATGAAAAGGTGTGAGCTAGGTAGAAAGCTAGTCTGTTAGCTAATTGCTTCAACTTAAGAAACAATAGCTTGTGATCATTTACCCTAAAACACAATCAGCATTTTTATTAAATGCCCTCTAACATGGCATTGACTTAGATCCTTCATTATGCAGAGGCCGGCTCATTTGCTTTCTCAGGGGGACACACACACACACACACACACACACACACACACACAGGAAGTTACATTCCATGAATTCATATTGTTTTATGGAGACAATATAGATTATTTCCTACTGTTTCAGTAGAATAATTGGCAATGACATTTTCCAAAGCAATGTCCCAATAAGGTCTTCATATAGAATCCCTATAATACAAATATATCATCCATTTTTGTGGGGTGAATAGATGTATAAAAAATTCTATGTAGATTTCTGGGGAAAAGAATAGCCTATCTTGAGTCTTACCTTTAGTCCAAGTGTCCATTGATAGACAAAAGATGTAGTCAGACTTTGAATTAGAAAGTACAGTCAGAAGGATCATGAGTTCAAGATCAATCAAGGTGAGACCATGCCTCAGTACAATACTGAAATAATGGACACAGCCCAGGAGCTCTAGATTAGATAAGTGGATCCAAAAAGTGTGGTACATATGCACAATAAGATTATGTAATTTACAGATAAATAGATGGACCTAGAACAAATTATGTTAAGTAAGGTTGGCCAAGCTACAAGTGATAACTGGTACATATAGCTTTTCATATGTGGAAGCTAAAATATAACTGGACATGGTAACCTATAAACAACTCTTGGCATTCATGCACACTCAGACCAGAAGAAGATGCCAGTAGGGGAAGAACACAAGGAGTAACTCTCCTGAAACAGAAACACGAGTTATTCATGTTGTTGTTGGTGGTGGTGTGGATGGTACTTGTATGTATGTATGTTTGCTTTATTCCTCTGCTTCTTGGGTGGATGGTACTTGTATGTATGTACGTTTGCTTTATTCCTCTGCTTCTTGGGTGGATGGTACTTGTATGTATGTATGTTTGCTTTATTCCTCTGCTTCTTGGGTGGATGGTACTTGTATGTATGTATGTTTGCTTTATTCCTCTGCTTCTTGGGTGGGCAAAGGGGAGTGCAGAAAGAGAGAGGAAAGGTGAACAAAAGAAATCATGCTATTCAGAAAACACAACATAGAAAATGAATCATGCAACTTGTGGGCAGGGGTGAGAAAGGGGAAACTGGAGGAAAGTGAAGAAAAGGGTGTCCAAAAGTAAAATGTGGGCATTACCTGCATTGTGAAATGGTACCCACTTTGCACATACCTTAATAGTAACAAGAATAAAATTACATTAAAAATAGAATGTGATACTGTTCCCATGTGCATTTTCTATGATCAGTGTGCAGTATTTTCAGTATAATATATGTGTGCATATCTGTGCATGAACAACAATGTCTCGTGTAAGAAGTTAGAACTCAGATAGATGCTAGCTTACATAGAAGCATGAGGATAAGAGCTGAGATTCCAGAGATTCTAGCAAGGAGTTCTTTCCCACGTTCACCATCTGGACCAAGTGCCCTTGCATTCAGATATAGCAAAATCTGACTGGTAAAACTGTATGCCTCGGCTCCACTTCGTCCCCTGCCAGTCTTGAAACATCCTTTAGCTATCCAGCAGCTTCAGCCCTTAAAGGTACCAGTTCCCTCACCTACAGAGTTGGATAGGAATTAAATGGAGGAGGCTTGCTGATGGTAATGCATGTCTATGAATACTCTTATGGATAAGAGGGGTTGTAAGGGCATCTTGCCTAGATTGCTGTCCCTGGAATTCTAGGAAAGAACTCATGGCCATCAAGTTCAAGCTATATAATCATATAGTAACTTGCAAATAATTTTCCTGGAAAAGGAGATATATATATATATATATATGCATATATGTCTGTATGCATATATATCTTTTATAAACAACTCTTGGCATTCACTCACAGTCAGACCAGCAGAGGATACTAGTAGAGGTATAAGAATATATTTTTCCTGGACAAGGGGTTATCTTTTTCAGCCTTAAACAAAAAATATCATATGAGCTAGGAATAGCCTTAGAATAAGCTACAATTTAGTACTTGTATTTCTTACCCCCTTGCTGAAGCATAGCCATGATCAATCATACTCTTGTCCCAAGGAAATATGACCAATTCAGTTCAGGACAAGAGTGTTAAAAAGTGTACCTAGGAGTGCTCCAAGTGTACTATGAAACCCCCTAACGGACCACTCTTTGGGGCAATTTTATTTTATTTCAACAAAATTCCTCCACTTTTGTCCTCATCAATATTTGGTATATGATGTAGATATTCTAAGAGAAGATCTGGGTGTCTTTCAATGCATTTTCTTCATCCTTGGATTGAAGAAGGCCTTCAGAGAGCTGTGTACTTGAACTTCAGTGTTTGACACCTTAGAGTAATTTTTACTGATTTGTACTTTGCCACGATACTCTTTGTGTGTCCTAGGAGTCTCAGGAGACTGTACCATGTACTGTATAGTACAGATGATGTTGTCTGTGACAGTTGAACCAATGATGTGTCCAGCACATTTGCCCAACCTTACCTATATTTAGGAAGATTGTTGGTGATAAATTCTACCAATGCTGGGAACAGGGCTATGGTTGCTCCTAGTGGAAAAAAAGCAGGTATAATGGTATAATTTAATCCTATACATATGAGGATATGGGACTAACTATTTATTTTCTTTGGTGACTAGAAAACTCCCAGTCAGATTCATTATCTGTCTTTAGCACCTTTGCAGGTTGATCTTCAGGACAAAATTCCTAATTGTGATGCCTTTTATGTCTCAGTCTGTTTGCTTTCTATGCCTCCTGTGCCTGTGTCTGGCTCCATATTAGTATCTATCTCATCTCTCCCTCCTTCTCCCTCCCTCCTCCTTTCCCACTCCCTCTTTTTATAATTTGTGTTCTAATCTGTGTTCTAAATCTCACCTCTATCCCATCTTCTCTCTCCTTTGTGTTCTTTACTGTGTCCACTCATCTAATCACCAGACCCCAAACACAAAAATGTCTTGTTCTCTTTCCCTGATGTGTCCTTTCTGAATTCTTTGAGCCCCTAAGATGCTTTCCTCTCTTCCTTTCTTCTCCTCTTCTTTCTTCTGAGGGTTTAACTCAGTCTTGTTCTTGGTTAAGCTGATTCTCTACCATTTGAATCATGACTCCAGCCCTATTTTTTGCTATTTATTTTGGAGTTAAGTGAGCTTTTCTGTCTAGGTGGCTTTGAGCCATGATTCTCAGATCTCAGCCTTCTGAGTAGATTATAGACATGAGCCGCTGATATACAGCCTTTCTTTTCCAGTAAGAATAGGAGTATCTACTGAATCTGTAGAATGTCTGAATTTTATGAGGAAATATTGACAATGTAGCTAGTTAGCTATAGATTTCGAATGTTGATTATATATATATATATATATATATATATACTAATTTTGTGGCAATGGAACATTATCAATACTGTTCAAATGAGGTTTGCTGCACAGTAAATTTTTATTATTTCAGAAGAGAAGCAATTTACCTACTCTTTTTTTTTTCTTTTAGGAATAGACAAGTCCAGTGTTTGAAAAATCTGAAGAATGTTTCCAAAGTGTAATTTGGCTGTTGGTTGCTGGGTATGGAGGACCACGAGGAAGCTGTTTCTGTTGCTTTCAGTCTTGCTGTTGCATGTGGCTCATCTGGAAGGCAAGAAGGATAATCAGTTCATCTGGAAAGCAGGTAGGAATGTCCTAGCGATTCCATAGCCACATTGTCATTAGTGAGAATAACATTCTTCTCATCTTCGTTCTTATTTATTGTGTAGTAGGAAATACCCAGAGAAGAAAAATAGACTCTTTTTCTTTATTATACAGTTTAAATTGGATTTTTATTTTTGTCTAATTGTCATCTCCAACCATGATGCTTATTATCCTTTGGAATTTTCATGTTGCTGTTAATTAAAGTTATGATTTCCATGGCTACCCTAACTTCTTTGTCAAATATTTCAGCACATTTGTAGCAAAAATAACATCTGCATTTAACTGACATTTTCCCCTAAAAACAGTTTGGTACATACCTTTGTTTCAGGGTTTAATCTACTTAGCTATCATTAAATACTTCCAAGCATAGATCTGGGTTTGAGAGCATGAAAAGATATTCCAGGAAATTTACTTATTAGTTGGGACTATAAAGTCACCTTTACATATTAGTAATACATGAAAAGTCTTATGTAATACTCTTTATATATACATATATATATGAATAATTTGAGTCCAGGTTTTGAGGCTTATCCCTAACATATGCTCTTTTTAAAATTTTTCCTTAATTTGGCAATGGAGTGATTTGTGAAATTTAATTTCAAAGTCTTAATAATTTATTAGTTTTAATTGTGAACTCCAAACATCTTGCTCTTTGTACAACTAATGTTTTCTTTTGTTCTGGATTTTAATTTTCTTAAAGTTTCACATTCAGCCATTTAAAATTTGTGTCACTGTTTCAAGAGTCCATTCTTGCATATATAGATAACTTATACACTTAATATGTTGGATAGGAAATGTGATGTTGTATAAGATCTATAGTCCTCAGAGACTTTTCATTTTGGTCTCATCATCTGTAAATTAAATAGACTGTGAACATATTGTCACCATAGAAATATGTATAAGAGTGATATTTGTAATATTTAAATTACTTTGCAAAAATGAAAATGAATTATGCTTTAAAGAATATTAAGAATGAAAAACCCAGCACCACTAGAGATATAGACTGGAGGAAATTTAATTGCATTAAAGCCTCTATAAATTAATTTAATTGTGGGTTCCAATACCACATTAGTGATTTGTATTTTTTCTCTTATAGTCGTTTTACAGTGCTTTGGAATAGTTCTAAAAGTCAATAGTGCATTTCTGCAAATGGCACTTTGTTTTAATCACAAAAGACAAACATTTTACCAAATCAAAATAAGCATATTTATCTGGCTATGCTCCTGTCTACATTTCTCCAAGAAATGCAATTAAAATAGAAAGTAACAAATTAAAAAAAATGAATGAACAAATGAGCTTATTTTGAAGCACATATATAGATGTGTGTCTTTCTAAAAGTAGGTAATTGGACCACAGTTGCACAAAATCAGCTGTTGACTAGTTTCATAACTATCAAGTTGATTTTCAGAAATAGAAATCATTCCCAATTAAACACTCTGCATTGTTCAAAGTAAATATGTAAGTTATTGTTCTCATTTTCATGTCTGTTCATTCCTTCTTTACCTTGTCATTTAAAAAGGTAATATTACCTATCTTTTTCATTTGGTTTTACTTCTACACCAAAATATTTGTAAGTAAGAATCCATTTAAAAAGTACAAAAACTTTACAGAGTATAAAATTAAAAGCCAGATTTCAAAATATACATTCAATTCTCCAACTTCTTTTATCTTCGACATATGTATATATGTGTGTATGTGCGCAAATAACATAAAGCTTATGTGTAAGTATCTCTATCATTATTATGTGTGTTTCTGCCAGAAAATCAAGTGCCAAGGTAAAAGCTATTGATATAAACTGTACAAGAATGAGCAAGGTTTAAAGACATGCATAGAAATTATATAGTAACCCACGTGCCAAGATACTTCAATAGGGTGTCTTTACTTTTAGGTCTTAAGGAGTAAAGAGAAAGAAAAATTCTTGAAATTTGGGAGGAAAACTTTATGGAGTGGATAACTGATAGACACTCTGGCCTTTAGAAGGATTGGGTCAATTTTGGATCACCATCTTCAAAAGTGACATGACATCTCAAAATCTGTTATTTATTTACAAATGAGTTTATCATATTTTAGTTTGATTTAAAGTATTTGGAGTTGAAATTAACTACATTTTAAGTATGTTTTCAAACCTAAGAACACAGGCCCATTGTAATTTTGATTTTTAAACAGATTTCCATGGAGAGTCAGATAAAGGTACTGTGATTTAGAAACCTACAAAACATTCTATGGGTTTACATTAGGTATGAACCACTTAAACTTTTTGTTAGTCTGCATTATTTTTCCACTGAATCAGAAGGTTAGATGATAGTTAACTTCATCCAAATTAGTGGCATTTCTGTGTGAATCTGGTCTTTGAAAACACAATGAGAAATAATAAGTGAGTGATAGATTGCTAAAGATTTTGTACTAAGGAGAATCTGGTGAATTGTGTGCTGTGGGGCTCTTGGTCTGAAAGGCTGATGAATCCCTGTCATCATTGTGATAAGATTCTGTGATCTATATTTAGCATTTGAAAATCTATGCTAAGATTATGATAACAACAGTATCAGGTAAGAAGAAGTTGCTGGTTGTTTTAAGTATTCATATATAACTATTCTTGTGTACCTGTCTTGCAGGGATTAGTAGATTATAATCTCTGAGACTATCATAACTATTATCCTCTCAAAAATATCTCAGATTGCTTCTAACACTAGCTCTTGTTGAATCTCTACAACATTCTAGGCATGGTTTCAAGTACATGAAATAATCAATGGAAGGTATGCTAGAAGGTAAAGTGTTTTTTAAAAAAGGGATATGTTGTGGTAAGGAGAAATAAAAAGTCTGAGTAGATTGTCTATGGGGTACATCACTGAAGAGATGAATTTGAATAAGGACCTTAAGAATTGTAAACTAGCTATAAGAATACTGAGATAAAGGATATTCCAGGCAGACAGTACACAAGGACCAAGATCAGAACAGAGAAGCCGAGAAACTTGAGAAGAGTGATAATAAATCCGAATAGAGAGGAAATGGGCCAGGTCAGCCAGCTTCCACAAAAATATTGGAGGGTTTTGACAGAGCAGTGATGTGATCTTTCTCAATAGTATTTGAATAAGATTATCATGATTTGCCAGTTGAAAAGACAAAGACAGGAAGACTATGTAGACACAAAGAAGGATGATACTACCTGGAGCCAAGGACATGACAATAAATGTGGCAAAAAAGTGTTAAAATGTGGGTGCATTGTAGCCATAGTTTTCAAGCAGAAATGCTGTGGCCCACCCAGGTCTGGAGACATTTCTGATTGTACAAGGGTTACTACTGGCATCTGGAGATGCTTCTTAAAGTGAAAAGGCCAGTTCCTCCACTAACAAAGAATTTTTATGTCCCAAACTGTCAATCGTATCCAGGCTGTGAAATGCTTATTTAAGGTAAAAATGGTGAGAATGGTTGATAAAGGACAGAGAAAAGGGAAAAGACATGAGGTGATGCCAACTTGGTTCTCAGAAACTGAAAAGTGAAGGAAGTCATTGATTATGTTTTTTTAATGATGGATCTGATACTGCATACGGTGTTATGAACTCAGGACTGGACATGCACACATTTTAAGACTATAAAAAATTCATGTGGTACTGTTGACTAGAAAGTTGGACATGTAGGATTTGAATGCAGGAAAGGTTTGTGTTGGAGATGCTCCTTTGAGAACTACTGGCAGAGGTAGAATTTAAATGTGGCCATAGAAATGAAGATGTGAACTTGAAATTGAAATTTACAATCCAGAATATGCAGAGAATAACATTCTAATTACTTCCTTTAGGGAGCCAAATGACATTCAAAAAGTTCCTGTGGAAAAATGCACATAACATAAACTTTACCATTTTAGCAGTTTGGAGGTGTAAAATTCAGTGATATTTCATATGCTTACAGTGTGGTAGAGCCATTACTGCTATCTAGTTTCAGAACATTTTCATTAGCCAAAGTCACATTTCACAAGTGAGTTTATAAAAAGACTAGAAAACAAATTTTGCTTTGGATAAGAACTTCTGAAAGAAAAAAAATGGTTCCATAGTTGTTTCTTGTGACAGTTTCTTTTACTAAGCTTAAGTCATTCTAAGAGATTACTCCCATTAAATAGAAAGAAATAAAGCTTTTTACACAGTCAGAACCATGCTCAAATCCTGAATGTCTAAATGGAAGAAAGGTGTTTTACCTCTCTGAAGCTTATTTATCCTTCTGTAATTGATAGTAATAACTAACATTTCACAGGACTGGTCTGAGAATTAAGAGGATATATTAAAATACCTAAAGTACAGTGGCCACTCAATAAATGTTAGCTACTATTTTATAATTGTTATATAATGATTTTATATTTGTAATATTTACTTATGTTTTGATATAATACAATTTTACACTCTTCCTTCTTAGATACATAAACCAGAAATGGTTACTTGTCAGCTATATACATTTCATTATCAATTATTTATGTTATTTCACTAATATTTTAGATCTAAAACTTTTTATATGTAGATTCATGGAGAGTTTTTATTATGGTAACTCTAATCAGTAACTAAGAATGGTGAGAATAATGGCCTATGTTTTTAGAATCAAGTAGGTAAAATAGAATTTTACTTTTGGAGAAAAGGGGTTGTGAAAATGACATTATGTAAAGAAAAAGTATCTTATGTATATTCATAATTATAGCTTAAATAATGACATTATAGCTTAATAATATTTTCAGTATAGGAATTACTTTTAAAAATTAGATTATATTACAAACACAAATAGTAAACCAGAAATGTTGGGTAAAACAAAAATTTCTAACAAGAAAGCAACCTTTAAAATATTCTTTCTGCATGAAGACAAATACTTGGCTACTAAATAATACTCCTAGCCACAGATGAAAAATACCACACCAACTCTGCTACTATACCATCCTGTCTGAAAATTGAAATTACTTCCAAGACCATAGGTGTTTAAAATTCCCAACTAGTAACTTGGTTTCAT